ATTTAATTGTAATACTGAGAGTTATGAATTATATGTGATAAAGTTTTTAGAAAATTAAAGTATAAAATCTTTTACTAATAGATTTGGATTATAGAAGGTGAAGGAAATCATTTAAAAATAAACTTATGACATTAAAGAGGTCAATTTAATTAATAAATTGAAATTAGTCTTTTTCTAAGATGATATTCAAATCGTGTAGAATTTATTAACTCATATAATTAAAACACAAATAAAATCTAAATTTTCAATATTTGTAATAATTTTTATTAATTATATTATTCTTAATTAAATTATAAATTCTAATTAAAATAATTTTAAATGGTAATTACTTAAATGATAAGAGAATAAATTACAATTATGCAATTTTCTAATTAGGAATATAATTTGAATAATCTTGTAATATATATTAGGAAAATGATCAAATCCTAGTATTTATCTTAATTACTATATATGATATTATTAATTCCAAAGAAATTTTTGATATATCTATTTGATCTTCAAGATCATTTTTGTTATAATAATTTTTAGCGTGTGAATGTGCTATTTTGTTTATATTCTGATCAATAAACCTAATTATTTTTATTCTTATATTGCAAGTTAATTCATGATATCGCTAAGCCTCATATGATTGTGAAATAAAAATATTCCAAGCTTTGACATTATTAAGTTTGCAATAATATCTCATCAGCAAATTAAAACTGTTGTATCTTAGAATACTTACAATTAATACTTTATTTAAAGATTATCTAAATAAATATTATAAATATCAGTTCTATTTTATCACTTTAACAAAGGATTTAAATACAAACAAGAAATAGAGTCTTTTTATTAATTAACTTAAATTTCAAATGAATAAACAAAAACTAAAAAATAGATTTTTACATTTGGACTGGTTGTATTAAGTATTAATTTAAAATATAAATATATAAATTTATTTATAAATATATAAATATTTGAGTAAAATTAAAAAATTTATCAAAAAAAATTAATATTATAATTCAAAATTTATATAATTTGAGTCGGTGTTAGTGTAAATTCAAAATTATCATCAATTAATTTACCTTACTTTCTCTTGAATAACACTCAGGATTAATGGATCTTTATATTCCAAACTTTAATATCATTACAGAATTATTGTTCTGCACTTCTCTATAAATTATTTATTAAATATTCTAAAAATTAATATTTATTGGAATTTTTGTATTTATGCGAGAATATGAAAACTTTTATTATTTTGTCTTTTGAAATTTACCTCATGTCAATATTGCTAATTCTGGATGCTGCCATAATTAATTAAGTTTTTATTTATTTGTGCTACAAATTAATAGATAGTAAAAATTAAGTTTTTAATCATTTATTAATCACAAATATACAAAAATATTTTTAATAAATAGAATGAAGTAAACTATATCTTTTTCTTTTTTGATAGTAATATGCTTTGAAATTCAAACATATTTTTGCTGGAGCATTTCAATATTACCACCAAATTACCCATATAAATAATTGTAAATAAAATAATCGAATATCGAGGGAGTAAGTGCATGTTTTGGAGTTTGGAGTAAATATATTCCTTTGAGTAATATTGTATAAACAGGAGAATATGGAATACTTGATAGTAACTGCTTTCATTCATTTAGAATTCAAGAAAAGGAAGAAAGCAATTTATATTTTTTATACTTTGAATGCATAAATTTTGAGGAAAAAATAGTTAAGAAATACTTTTAATTTTTAGATAGTGATAATAGAGTTACAACTGAATTAATTTCAATAGATTTAATTTCTTATGAAGGTGTTTGGTATTTCAATGGATTCTTGGCAAGTCCTTTAGAAAAAATAGTAACTATATATATTAAGGATTTCTTATTAAATTAAATATTTTCCAAAGATTTATCAATTAGGTTTCCATTTAAAGAATATATTTTTGTTTAAATTATTGGCGGAGATTTTAAAGTAGAACAGACATCAAAATTTTATTTATTTGAAAATAAGTTACTATCCTATTTTCCAGGAGAAATATAATATCTTTAAAGTTGTTATTATGAAATATTTGATGATTTTTTGGAATTAATCTAATCAAGGAATTAAAGACCATGTATTTGCAAAAATAATTAAATAACAGATTTACCAGATGTTAAAATTTAAAATTAAGATAATTATGAATTTTTATCCTAAAATACAAATTGTTAATAATTTTTATTAGCAGGATGGATAAAAATTTTAGAAATTAAAAACATTTCCAATGAATTTTAGTTTTAGTTATTTAAATTAATGGGTAATTTTTAACATCCTTAATTAATTTAAGAAAATTTATGTGCATTCTAATTATTTTACTAATTATCGACTTAAATAAATTAAATAATTGTAACTACTTATAGCTATACCTTACCTGTTATAAATATTGATTTTTCAACTAATCCTTATTTAAAGAAAATAATATTTGATGTGACATATGATATTTAATTGTGGCATTATCTTCTTGTTGAAAAATCAGATAAATTTATTTCAATTACTATTACATTTTATTAGGGATATAATTAAGAAAAATTTAGTTTTACTTTAGAGGTAATTTAATTCTAAATGGTTTAATTAAAATTGCTATATGGAAATATTTTTTAATCAAAATCTGATTATTTAGATATTCAACTTGCAGGATTTTAAATATTTAATTGTCCTGATTTTAATAATCTGTAAATAAGTTGTCATCCAACATGCAAAGAATGTGATGGTCCAACAAAAGATGATTGCTTATCATGTTATGAATTTTCAAATAGAAGATATATATCAGAATTTAAAGTTTGTATTTGTGAATATGGAACTATTGATTAGAATAATGAATGCGTTAATTATTAAACATTATAACTAAATAAGATTGAAGTCTAGTAACTTGAAAAATAATGTCAGTATGGTTTTTTTGAAATTGATGATGATTGTTATCAATGGTATAATTTATTTATTATATTTTAGTCCATCAAGAATTACAATTGATATGATAACATGTTTAGAATGTATTTTAAATCCAAAATCATGGATTAATACTCTCTTTTGTTAAACATCCTACCTTGTTCATCAAAATGGAAGTGTTGCTAAAAATTTTTCTTATGAAAATTTATAATACATATTCACAGGAGATGAATTGAAATACTGTCCTAATTGCGATTTGAATTTGAAAGCACCATACGATTTAATTGAAGCATCATTAATATTTAAAAATTTCTGCACTGCCAGTTAATCAATAAACGATGGTTGTTATTTTTGTCAGGATGAATGTGAAAGATGTGCAATATTACCAACAAATGAATTATGTTTAGATAGGACTCCAAATGTTAGTTTTGGTAATAAAACTTGTTATGCTCCAAATTATTTAAATTTTTATAAGAAGTGTGTAAGTTGTGAACTAGAAAATTGCTTATATTGCTTTGATTATTTAGCTAGTGATCCAACAAAATCTACACTTGAAAGTTTAGAAAATTTTTCACTTAACGATGAAGAGATAAAAATAGGATGCGCTTAGTGTATAGAAGGGTATATCTTTGAATTTAAAACATCAACTTGTATCAACTAAAAACCAATATAATAAAATTGCCTTAGATCTTATATTAATTTTGATGATAGAGAAATTTGCACACTATCAAATGATTTCTCTATATCTTTAGAAAAAATAAATTGCCAAGACCTTATTCTACATTGTAAACAATGTATCAAAACTATATAAACAACAGTAAAATGTTTAATTTGTGAGGATGGTTATATTGTGTCTTCTATAACAGGAGTTTGTAGTATTTGTCCTATTGTTAATTCAAAATAATGCTAAGAAGATAATTTATTAGAACCAGGGAAATGGAAATTTCAAGGCTTTATAATTTAATTCTTGCCACCTAAAACTAGAATAAATTATGATTTATCTAGATCATCCTCAATAGTAATTGAGTGTCTTCAAGGATATCGAATTTTAGAAAACGAATGTTAACAATATTGCGATGAATTTTGTTCAGTGTGCGAAACAGAAAAAATTACACATTCTTCCACATTTTATTGTTCTTAATGCAAGAGAAATTATTATAAAGAATTAATTAGAGTATAAGCTGATAGATAATGCATAGAATGCCCTTCATTATGTTAAGTTTGCTAGAAAAGACCTACTGATGAAATTAATGTATGAGAAATAATTATAATAGCAAATAAATCCTTATTATATATAAGATGCAGAAAACTCAATTTATACATAAAGGTGCATCTAAAAAGTTCCATTTGACAAAAATATTCATATTGATCCAATGTTAGCAATTGCTTAATATTGTTATTAAGATAATTGTAATTACAAATTAGAATTTTCTTATGTATTATGATATTAACTAAATTAGGATGAAGTATTTTGCTTAACGATAAGCTCTTTAAATGATATTTAGTATAATTATAAATATTTAAATGAAATAGGACTCAAATAAATCACTATCAAAACAAATTTAGAACAAAATTGCGAATTTTACAGTAATGAATACACATTAAAAAATTATTTTAAGGAAAATATATTTTCAATAAGGTTAGCTGAATTAATTGTTAATGGTAGTGTAAACCCTATAACTTTTTTTAAAAAATGTATTTTTTAAGTTTAAACATATGATTAAATTGTAATAAGTAATACTATTTTTGTAATATTGTATTCACTGGAAATGATATTGACAAATAGAGGTAACTCAATTAATTTTTACATTTTAAATACAAAGTTTTATACAGATTAAAGTTAACCTATATAAATATCTATTAAGGCTGATAGCTTATACTAATTTAATATATAAAATTTGACATTTTCAGATATAAGCATTGAAAATTCAATAGTTTTTGATATATTTTTCTAAGGTTTGAATGAAGATATTATTTTTAACAATATACAACTTTTGGATTGTAGAATAATAAATTCAACATTATTTTATTTTAACAATTTAAAGAGTAACATTTTTATCAAGAATTTTACAATAGATTCTTGTACCTTTGAAAATTCATCAATTTTTATTTTTAAAATTGATTAAAATAGTATATCTAATGTATTTTTTAATGAATTAGTAATATCAAATTGTTTATTCTAAAATTCAAAACTTATATATAGTCCGGAAGCAATCATTTTAAATATTAATAATTTATCAATTATCAATAATTAGATTTTAAATTCTAAATTTATAGTGTTTAATTACAACTTTTATTGTAATGACATAAAAATAATTGATAATTATTTTCTTTAACTTTAATTATTTGCATAAATCTAATCTATACAATCAATAACAGAAATTTAGANGAATTTTGTTCAGTGTGCGAAACAGAAAAAATTACACATTCTTCCACATTTTATTGTTCTTAATGCAAGAGAAATTATTATAAAGAATTAATTAGAGTATAAGCTGATAGATAATGCATAGAATGCCCTTCATTATGTTAAGTTTGCTAGAAAAGACCTACTGATGAAATTAATGTATGAGAAATAATTATAATAGCAAATAAATCCTTATTATATATAAGATGCAGAAAACTCAATTTATACATAAAGGTGCATCTAAAAAGTTCCATTTGACAAAAATATTCATATTGATCCAATGTTAGCAATTGCTTAATATTGTTATTAAGATAATTGTAATTACAAATTAGAATTTTCTTATGTATTATGATATTAACTAAATTAGGATGAAGTATTTTGCTTAACGATAAGCTCTTTAAATGATATTTAGTATAATTATAAATATTTAAATGAAATAGGACTCAAATAAATCACTATCAAAACAAATTTAGAACAAAATTGCGAATTTTACAGTAATGAATACACATTAAAAAATTATTTTAAGGAAAATATATTTTCAATAAGGTTAGCTGAATTAATTGTTAATGGTAGTGTAAACCCTATAACTTTTTTTAAAAAATGTATTTTTTAAGTTTAAACATATGATTAAATTGTAATAAGTAATACTATTTTTGTAATATTGTATTCACTGGAAATGATATTGACAAATAGAGGTAACTCAATTAATTTTTACATTTTAAATACAAAGTTTTATACAGATTAAAGTTAACCTATATAAATATCTATTAAGGCTGATAGCTTATACTAATTTAATATATAAAATTTGACATTTTCAGATATAAGCATTGAAAATTCAATAGTTTTTGATATATTTTTCTAAGGTTTGAATGAAGATATTATTTTTAACAATATACAACTTTTGGATTGTAGAATAATAAATTCAACATTATTTTATTTTAACAATTTAAAGAGTAACATTTTTATCAAGAATTTTACAATAGATTCTTGTACCTTTGAAAATTCATCAATTTTTATTTTTAAAATTGATTAAAATAGTATATCTAATGTATTTTTTAATGAATTAGTAATATCAAATTGTTTATTCTAAAATTCAAAACTTATATATAGTCCGGAAGCAATCATTTTAAATATTAATAATTTATCAATTATCAATAATTAGATTTTAAATTCTAAATTTATAGTGTTTAATTACAACTTTTATTGTAATGACATAAAAATAATTGATAATTATTTTCTTTAACTTTAATTATTTGCATAAATCTAATCTATACAATCAATAACAGAAATTTAGATGAAAAACTTATATGTAAAAAAAAACCATTTAACAAATTGTTCATTATTTATTACATAATAAAAATAATTATTTAATAATATTGACTTTTTAATATTAAATTTTCATTTTGAAGATAATAATCCTTCTTGTGGAGACGACAATGTTCTAATCACAATAAACTGTTTTACATTATTAATTAAAAATATTTTTCTAAAAAATACTACAAATTATCATTTTTTTAATTTATTAGATACACCTTATATACAAATTGAAAATTTAGTATATGAAAATTTACTCCAGGAATATAAAGTGCCTTATTAATTTGATTGCTTAAGAATTTGTATTCCTCAGTCACAATTATTATAAATTTTTGGGTTTAATAGAATTATTATACAGGATATACTAGTAAAAAATTAATATAGTGTAGATTTATCATTAATATCAGTTTATTCTAATCCTTTGAATACATCTAATTAAAATGAATTTATATATATAAAAAATTCTATAATGAAGGGAAACATTCTATTAAAGTAGAATTTAGGTATACTTTTTTCTTTAATGGAATTTTATTCAAAAAACTCTTTAAATATAGCAATTACTAATTTAACTTTTGAAGAAAATATTTTCCATCAATACTAGACAGATCCATCTTAAACTTAAGCCAGCTTGATGTATTTTGATACAAAATAAAGCATTATAAATCTGAAAAACATTTTATGCATTTATAATTCTATGACAAATTCTTCCTAATCATTTTTTTCAATATCCTCAGAGGAAGTCTAATTAGAAAATATTACAGTCTTAAATCATAATTGGCTAAAAAAAGAATTTTGGATAAAATATTATGATGTTCTATTCTTAGGGGAATATAATGAGAATGAAATTTCTTATGCAATTTAATAATCTTTTCAGATATCAAATGTTGGAGGTATTTTTTCAGTGTTTGTTACCAAATTTACAATTAATAAAGGATTTTTTAGTTATATTTAAGCAGAAAGCAATTTTATATTTAATATTAATTTTTAAGGGGAAGGGATAGGTATCATCAGAAATTGTAGTATAATTCATGCATAAAATTCATTAATTTCAAATTATGAAAATGATGGAGCTATTACTATAGATGGCAGGAAAAGTTTATTAAAGATAATACTTGAAAATATTACTTTAGAACATGTATATAATAAACTATCATCATCCATATTTTCAATATATCCATCATTGAAATAAAATAACATTAGATTTAAAAATATCATTGTTAAAAATTGCTTTTCTCTTATTAATTCAATAATTAATTTTTAATCTGAATTTAAAAATGCAGATAAGAATAAAATTTTTATAGAAAATCTTAACATTGTTTAAAATGAATAATCTTTACTTATATTCCTTCACTCAATTGGTAAAATTAGTTCATTAGAACTTCAAAAGGTTGTTGATGACAATGCAATGATGAATTTCTTAGGATGTCAAATATAGTTAATCGGATTAAGAATAGAGGGAATAATTTTATCCTCGATAATTAAAATTAGAGATTCTAGTTCTATAAAATTGGGAAATTTACAACTTGTTTATATTTAAACTTTTTATACCTTAAATTTAATAGATGTATTATAAAACAATATTTTATAATCCACAATGACTATTAATAACATTATAATCACAAATTTAATTGATTTTAAATATTAGAATTCAACTAAAAATTTAACTTTTTAAATGCAGGATCATATTAGTTTAAAATTTGTTCTTTGTAATCTTAACAATTAATAAATAATCTAATAAATAAAAAAATAAGAATTTGTTGATAAATTTTTTGATGAAATTATTTCAAAGTCCAATCAAACTGGATCATTAATTAGAATAAAGAGTATCACAAATTTAACAAGGGCCTTATTAACAAAAATTATTATCTTTAATAATACCTGTAATCATTGTTGGAATGGTTTACTGTATTTTGATATTATAAATATTGAGAAAATTCAAGTTTCAGAATTATATTGTATAAAAAACAAAATAAAATAGTATGGCTGTATAGCAGCTAAATCAAATGATAATTTGGAAGGTAAAATGTTAATAGATCAATCAACTTTTATTTCTAATGATGGAAGTTTAGGATCAGGTATTTATGTCTAAAATTTAAGAATTCTTTTATCTAATTCTAATATTATTAAGAACACAGCATCTCAGAAAGGAGGTGGTATATATTTAGAATTAAGTGATTATAACTTTAAAATATCATCTACAGCAATTTGTAATAATTAAGCAGATGAAGCAGGTGGATTATATTTGAGTGGAAATAATAGATTAAATCAAAATAATTTTATTTAATCTCTACTCATATTAAATTAAGCTTAATAATTTTCAAATAATTTAAATGAATCACCCTCAAGATTATCATTATTTCTTAATCATATAGAAATGGTTTCTAAATAAGAAACAATTGAACATCATCCTGTATAATTATTAATATTAAAACCATATAAAATCATATAGTAAGATCGTTAAATACATGCATAATTTTTATTTGTTCCAAGCGGTCAATAAATATCAAAATATCAACTTTATAATCCTAAGCTTTAGAATTATTAATCTTACATTCATGATTTTAGGATTTTGTTTAAAAATAGCTTGAATGAATAATAAAATAACTTTTTAAACACTTCTTGTAATATAATGCAATAATTATTTGATATCTAAAAATAATAAGTAATGGAATCAACCCAAATATCAAAAATAAATTTTGAAAATGAAACAAAAAGTTTAAACTTAGGTTTTTTAGATTTTATTTTTGATCCTTTTGAGTAAGATGATAAAATTTAAGAAATTTTAATTAATTGTACAACAAACTATTATGATGAGAGTTTAGCATATTTAATGAGAGTTAAAGCCTTTCTCTGTTAATTAGGGGAGTTTTATATTTCCTCAAGTTGCCAATAATGTTAATCAGAATAAGGATTTTATTCAGTCACATTCAATACAACAAAATGTTCAATTTTTGATAAAAATAAATTTGAAGCAATTACATCTAATAAAATTCTATTAAAAATTGGTTATTGGAGACCAAATTACACTTCTGATGATGTAGAATTATGTTATAAAAACCAATATCTTTGTTAAGGTGGTTGGGGTGTTAATAATGAACTATGTTTTAGGGGACATCTAGGAGGACTTTGTGAAGAATGTGATAGATTTAATGTAAGAGGAGATGGATAATTCTTTAAAAATTAATAATCAGTAGAATGTGAGCAATGTTAGGATACTACTAAACGGTTAATAGCATTTTTTTTGATTTCAATATGGTATTGCAAATTTTAATAAATAATAGGGCTATTTTATCAACACTATTAACTATTGGCAGTATTGAAAAATCAAATATATTATTTGCATAACTTAAACTTAGATAAAAGTTTGCTCATATTTTATTCAAACTAAATTAAGGTATTAATTTATTTATATTAATGTATTTAGATCATGAAAGTATTTTATTTAAATTATTTCTTAATTATTTATGGATATTTTCACTAATCTTTACATTTAATATTAAGTTAACCATATCTTTAGGTATTTTTAAATAATCAAATGATACTTCATATTTTATGACTAATTTTTTTGAATGTTTTTTGTCTGAAATATAAGAGATAGAATTAATTTACAGTAGAATCATAGTTATGTTAGTCCTTATGGTTTGTTAAATATTAGTAATCTTTATTGGTTTTAAAATTGTTTCAATTATTAAAAACACTAAATTCAAAAGCCTGATTATTTCAATTACTATCTTATAAATGTATGTACAAAATTATGCTTCTTTACTTAATCAGTATAAATATTTATTTATATTAACTAGATTTTTTTCTATTTTAGTAGTTAGATAGATTTCAAATATAAATTATATATCAGGTGATGTATCATTACTGTATGGATCTAAAAGTCATATCTCTTGGATATATGGATTTTCAATACCTGGATCTTGTTTAATTGGATTAATTTTACCCTTATTAATATTTTTGATTTTGTACATAAATAGAGATTAACATGATAAAATAAAGTTTAGAAGACATTTAGGATATTTATTTAATGAATATACTTAAAATAGCTATTTTTGGGAAATTATAAAATTATGGAAAAAAACTATTATCATTCTAGTCCTAATATATTTTTAAACTGACATATTTTTTAAAGCATAATTATTAAGCCTTTGTTTATTGTTTTACTAATTGATTGCCTATAAATATAAACCTTATATTCTTAAGAAACTTAATTAATTAGATAATTAAAGTGTATAATTTTGCTTAATTGCAATATTTTTAGCAGTTCTCAAATATATATCTGAATAAAAAGGAAATGATAATATTTCAGCCATCATTCAAATATTTATAATTTTAGATAGTATTATATTGAGTTATCCATTTATTATGAATATTCTAAATACTTATATTCTCAAACACAAGGTAAAAGTCATTTCATTACTCATGAATATGTTTTCAGCTTGTAAACCTAATTTTGCAATTACAAAATTTCTGAGAAATAGACTAAATAAATGGAGATAAAAAGAAGAAAAAGCAAAATAAAATATTGGAAAAATAAGAAAAATTCTATTCAAACAAAACAATATTTTCAAAAAATTGTAATATACTATAGTATTTTTAGGGTCTAACTTAATGAATAGAAAAATTAATACGTATAACTAACCGTTTAGACCAATTTCTATAAAGATATATGAATTATATATAAAAAAACATTAATTCCCATTATTCCTTTTGCATGTTTATCTATTTTTCTAAAGATTATACTTATCCTTTAGTAGATGTTAATTTATTATTTTTATTATGCATAAAATCCTTAAAATTTTTTAGGAATTAAAGATAATAAATGTAAAATCAAAACCATTTAAAATAAAATTTCTATCTTTTAATTCCTAAATATTTATTATTGAAAGGGTGTATTAGTTATGTCCATAAGTTATCTAAGTCAAGAATAATATTATTGATAATGATTCTGGTGTATCTATAAATATGAATAGTTCCAATCTATATTTACTATTCACTAAATGATTCCGTCTAGCTTTCTTATGCTGCAATAAAAAAGTTCTCTGAAACTTCATTATTACAAAAAAAAAATGAAGAGAAGTTTTTGCAAATAGTCATCAATCCTTCTCATTGATATTATTTATACACAAAGGTTGTACATGTTTAATTATTAAAACCAAAATTTAAGCTTTAAATTTTTATAACTTATTGTCGCTGTCATTGATTCGAATTTCAGAAGAACAGTACATTTCAGTAAATATTTATTATGGTCCATATCCTTTATCTTCTTTCTTTAACTAAACCGTATTTAATTTTAATGAAAATTTAAATTCTATTGATTCCTATGATGTGCTTTTAACTTCTTTAACTTACTTCTTGAGATATCTAATTGATATCTAATAATTAAATGAGATTTATCAGACTTCCATCATGCAATGATTTCAGTTTAATATCCTAATTTTAAGGTTTCTTATCTAAACCATTCCTAATTATTAAATACATACCAAATGTTTATATGATGAATTAATATCATTATTTAATTTATTTAAAAACTTCATGATTCAATTTTTATTTAAATTAACATGCTTTTTAGAAATTAATTCAAACTCAGTTGTATTAAATATTAATGATTAATTTACGAGCAATTCCAAATATTTCATAAATAAAAATTGATAAATAAATTACTCAAAATAACAAAGTCTGTTTTCTTAAATATTTTTATTCGGCCTGACACATCATGATCATGTGGATTATATAATCAATACTTTACTAATTTAATTCAAATATTTAAAGTCAGTGATTTATTGAAAAAAAGTGAACTAATGATAGGAAATTTCTTTTTTTTTGTTAAAAAATACCTAAACAAATGATATTTAGATATTCTATTAATTAGAGCAATATGCTGGAAATTCAATACTATAATAAAACCTAGTATCGTCAGCAAATTCTATATTATTCTTAGAACTCTTCTTCTCTTATCTTCTTTACATCATTCAAGTAACTTTATGTTTTTTGAAAAAATGCGAAACGCTAAATATGGCAACCAATGATAGCAATAATCACATTAGTTTTTAAACATGTCAAATTTTGTCTCATTAACATTTAAGATGGAATTTAAATTGCCTTTTATTGTTAGTTAAATAATTATTTGCTCATTCAATAATTCCCTTTTTATATTCCTTTTACATTTTATATTGTAGAATGCTTTATTATATTTTTGATATCAATTTAATATATGAAGCGTTAAAATTAAACAATAAGTGAAACCAAAAAAAAAAAATTCTGAAAAATGTGAAAAGATTGTCTTAACAATCTATATAAAAAACTAAATATTTTTTTTTTTTTTAAATAAAAAGTTATCATTTTATTTTAGAAGTTTGTACAATATTTCTTAAAAAAGAACAAAATTAGCATAAAAAAATTGTTATTTTTGGGATAATTTATAAAAAATTCAAATTCTTTTAAAAGGAAAAAATATTAAAAATTATCTAATTTTTTTTGGAAATATTAAAACAACTACAATATTTCATAAAGTTTCAATGAAGTTAATTTTATAATTGGAAAAATTAAATAATGTTTTTTCCATCCCCAATTTGGGGTTGGGGTTGGGGAAAAAACCTTACTAGCAACTTTTATGAACCATTTGACCCAGCCCCAACCATACTTAGGACTATATTATTATTTATTATAAATCTAATATAGTACTCCCTTACCAACCCCTTTTTATTATTATAGTAAAAACCAACCCCAAATCCATTTAGTGTTAATTTTAAAATTAGATTTTCTAATCCTCAAATACATCATGACTAACTTTGGTTCCATTCAATGCCTTCAATGTAATTTCCTCATCACTTTAAGCTTTAAAGAGACTGCTTGCTATCCTTGCAATATTTTTAAGCTCTTAGGCATTCGAATCAACTCTCTCTTCTTACATTAAATGATATTTTATTTTATCTTTTTCTATGGTTCTTAATCATAAACATGAATTTAGTCTAAAAGTCTAATTTTTTACAACGTTAGATATATTATATCTATTAAAAACCATAGACCACAATTTTATAATCCAAATTTAAAAAATTATTAAATATTTAATACAAGGAAAATAAACATATTAATTTTGTAAGTAATATTTGAGTAGAGATAAATTTAAATAATGCTTCAAGAAAAATTAGAGAGCGAAATGCCAACCCAGAATAAATTAACATTTTCAACAAGCCACACAACTTCGATGAACTACTTGAAATGGGAAAAGTAAAAATTTATTACAAAATATTAAAAATAGTTTTCATAAATAGCCAACCAGTTAATAAGCTAAAATATTTGCTACCATAGTAATGGGATAAAGATGGAATTCAAAATATACAAAGAACAAAACTGTATACTATAAGATTCTCAAACAAACAAAAATTTTATAGTGCTAATATAAAATATTATAACTACAACTTTTACAGAAAATAAAATACATCTTTTTATTTAAGCTAGACTCTACTACAAAAAGACTGATTTGATAAAAGAACATAAAAATATTTTAGAAGAATGCTCAGAGAATGATTTATTTTTAACAAATATCACAGCTTGGTTCTATTGCCCCAAAATAGTAAAGATAATATTTATAAAACCCATCAATGAGTATACAGAAGGAAAATACATTTACGAAGAAAATTGTTACTGGATCAGGAGCGAATACAATGCATTAACTAATGAATTTGAGCCAGATCAAACATAATGGAAAAGAGAGTGCTGTTGTAATTCTATATGTAATCCAGCATTATACGAAAAAGAAGTAGCATTTTGCAAAAATTGTAGCTTTTTATTTCATATAAAATGTATATAATAAGAGTAATAATAACTGAAGAAAAGTTATGATGTTATATGTAAAGAATGCTTACAAAATATGAAATAAAAAACAAAAAATACTAAACAACAAATAATTATATCAAGAAGAAGCAAAAAATTATGATTGCTATTAATTTAAATATACAAAATATTAATATAAATATCCTTACTCTGTAACTTGTATTCCATTTTATAAAAAATCAATAATAACAATTTTTAAGCTAAAAAGGGCACATGTAACAACATCACTTAATGAGTTTTAAATTTTTTTAATTAATGTCAAAGGAATACTGATAAAATTTATTAATCAACTAAAAAGAGTTAACTAATTAATTACTTAAAAACGAGTGATGTTAAATTGTAGCACTTAGAATATAAGTTTCTTTATCTTTAATCTCATCTTTAGTTAATTTTTTGTGTGCAATTTTTTCATGTACAATTTATAATTTTACTGGATAGATTTCTTTATATTTACAAGACATAAACATAGTAGTCAAACCAATTAAATGTAAATCTTAAGGTATATATTTTTATTATGTTTTAGATAGATAGGTATTAACAGCAATAAAGAATAATTAATCTTTGCATTTATCTGAGGTAAGAACTTCAACCATCTTTGCTCTAAGATTTGCACTGACTGTGTGATTAGCAAACAATTTTTTGGTGTTAAATTCTATTTTTATTAATTATAAGCATTTAATTCTATATAATAATCTAAAATAGGTTCTGAATAATTGTTTATTAATTTACATAATTCATTTGATTGTGTTTCTACTTATTTAGGTTTTATAGGTGATTATTTTTATGGAGAAGAAGGTGTTTAGGTTTTTAATTTATGTTCTGGTTTACAAAATACTAATGGACGTGATGAAATATAGATGTAGAATTATTATTTTTAAATTCTATACTCTTTAATTCATTTCTTATATATATAATATTAATTTATTACTTCTATTTCCACCAATCTATGTTAATGATACCAATTAAGTTAAAGATTTATTTTAATGTCTAGGGTTATTAGACACCTCTGCTTAATTCTCTTTTTCAAAAGATCTTCTTGGACATGTCTTTCATTATCTTAACCCCCTTCTAAAATTGAGAATAAAAAGAAGAGAATTTTAACCATTTTTATCAAAAAAAACCCCCGATTTAGGTTAATAAAATCATACTGTTAATTTTCTGTACCTTTAAGCTCCGCATTCAGCACAGTGAATTTTATAGTATTAATTAATCTTTTCACATTTTTAGCACTACCATTCAAACTCAAATAAATCATATTTTTATTCTTTTAATTTAATTGTTTTTTACATGTCTCTTTTGTAATTTATTTCAAAATTGGTTCCATTGATGGTAATTTATCAAATGAAAACTTATTATTGCCATTATCTTTTATCTCACCAGAAGATTTATTAGATCTATCAGATATTGGTGGAATATCACCATTGCTCTCTGTTAAAAACAATGCAGATTTGAATCCCTTATTTTCATTATCTTTTTGATTCTTCAATGTTTGACATCTATTACATGTGTCTCTAAATGCAAAATTCATATTATTGCAATTACTACATATCCAATCTCCCTACCGCTATCTATGATTTATTTTATTTTTGCATTTCTACTAAGCCATTATATTTATTATAATAATTAATAATAAAATTAACTACAATGAACTAGAAGCAATATGAAAATATATTATAGGATTAAACATAACATTAATTAAATAAAACATACAAAAATACTATAAACTCAATTATATATATCATCATATTAATAATTTACTAAAAAAATAATGAAACTCCCCCATTCACATTCAGAAATTCTATTAATCATAGCAATAGGCTTAATATTCAATACTAATATCATATAAACAAGTTATATATAATTATCTTAGTTTCTTTCTTTTCTAATCTCCTTTACATAATTAAGTAAATTTAATTATTTAAAAAAATTTGAAACACTAATTAAGGTAACAAATAAAAATAATTAAAAAATTTTATTTTAAAAATATAAATGTGGTCTTGTTTATCATTGAAGATGGAATTTACATAACTTGTATGTATAAAATTATTTACACATTCAATATTTACCAATTCATTTTCTATTTAGATTTGTGCTATTGTTTCTATTATCAACAAGAAAAAGGATATTTAAAATAAATATCGCTTTGAATTCTAACATAAATTTATTTAATTTATTAATATGTTTAATATTTTAGAATACTGTAGTATAATAGCGATCTAATTCTAAAAGGAAATTTATATAGTATTAAATATAATACACTCATATTAAATTTATTATATATTATATAGCTAATAAAATATTTAATATATAACGATTAGATAAAATATCGAATAATAACATGAATATTTAAATTATTTTTTTTTCTATCTGTCTTCTAATCATAAGTCTTAACAGATCTTGGATGATTCCTTATTCTTGTACCNTACCATTTTAGCAAGATATAATGTTATTTAATATAACTATTGATTCATATTTAAAATAGATAGTACAATAGTAATTACATCTAATACAGTAATACCAACCAAATTAAAATCTAGAGTACTTAGAATATTAGTTTCTTTATCTTTAATCTCATCTTTAGTTAATTTTTTATGTGCAATTTTTTCATGTACAATTTATAATTTTACTGGATAGATTTCTTCATATTTACAAGACATAAACATAGTAGTCACACCAATTAAATGTAAATCTTAAGGTATATGTTTTTATTATGTTTTAGATAGATAGGTATCCATCAATTTAACAGCAAAAAAGAATGTTTAATCTTTGCATTTATATGAAGTAAGTACTTCAACCATCCAATCAACCATCTTTGCTCTAAGATTTGCACTGACTGTGTGATTAGACAAACAATTTTTTGGTGTTAAATTCTATTTTAATAATTATAATAAATATTTACATTTAATTCTATATAATAATCTAATATAGGTTCTGAATAATTGTTTATTAATTTACATAATTCATTTGATTGTGTTTCTACTTATTTAGGTTTTATAGGTGATTATTTTTATGGAGAAGAAGGTGTTTAGGTTTTTAATTTATGTTCTGGTTTACAAAATACTAATGGACGTGATGAAATATAGATGTAGAATTATTATTTTTAAATTCTATACTCTTTAATTCATTTCTTATATATATAATATTAATTTATTACTTCTATTTCCACCAATCTATGTTAATGATACCAATTAAGTTAAAGATTTATTTTAATGTCTAGGGTTATTAGACACCTCTGCTTAATTCTCTTTTTCAAAGATCTTCTTGGACATGTCTTTCATTATCTTAACAGTTAAATTTTATTAATAAAGTAAAAAATTATTTATTTTATTATATTGTTTATCTTTTGTTTTAACCCCCTTCTAAAATTGAGAATAAAAAGAAGAGAATTTTAACCATTTTTATCAAAAAAAACCCCCGATTTAGGTTAATAAAATCATACTGTTAATTTTCTGTACCTTTAAGCTCCGCATTCAGCACAGTGAATTTTATAGTATTAATTAATCTTTTCACATTTTTAGCACTACCATTCAAACTCAAATAAATCATATTTTTATTCTTTTAATTTAATTGTTTTTTACATGTCTCTTTTGTAATTTATTTCAAAATTGGTTCCATTGATGGTAATTTATCAAATGAAAACTTATTATTGCCATTATCTTTTATCTCACCAGAAGATTTATTAGATCTATCAGATATTGGTGGAATATCACCATTGCTCTCTGTTAAAAACAATGCAGATTTGAATCCCTTATTTTCATTATCTTTTTGATTCTTCAATGTTTGACATCTATTACATGTGTCTCTAAATGCAAAATTCATATTATTGCAATTACTACATATCCAATCTCCCTACCGCTATCTATGATTTATTTTATTTTTGCATTTCTACTAAGCCATTATATTTATTATAATAATTAATAATAATATTAACTACAATGAACTAGAAGCGATATGAAAATATATTATAGGATTAAACATAACATTAATTAAATAAAACATACAAAAATACTATACACTCAATTATATATATCATCATATTAATAATTTACTAAAAAAATAATGAAAATCCCCCATTCACAATCAGAAATTCTATTAATCATACCAATAGGCTCAATAATCAATACTAATATCCTATAAACAAGTTATATATAATTTTCTTAGTTTCCTTCTTCTCTAATCTCCTTTACATAATTAAGTAAATTTATTTATTTAAAAAAATTTGAAACACTAATTAAGGTAACAAATAAAAATAATTTAAAAATTTGATGTTAAAATATAAATGTGGTTTTGTTTATCATAGAAGATGGAATTTACATAACTGTTATACTACTTTAATTAAAATTTTAGAATGCTGTAGTATATTGCTGATTTAATTCTAAAGGGAATATATATTATATAAAATATTAAACAATATAATATATTTTCCAAATATTATAATTAGAAAAATAAAAAAATAATATAGAATTTATCAACATAAATAGAGATAAAACTTTTGAATTATACTTTATTTGTCTTCTAACGATAAGTCTACAAGATCTTAAATGATTCTTAATCTTGTAACTTAGACAGTATAAAATAAAGTGAATATTAATCAAAAATCAAAAAATGATAGATTTCCATAATATGGTTTAGTAAATCAAGTTACTAACTTATTCTAATAAATGATTACACCTTCTCATTCTCCAAATGGTTTTGGACTTAAATATATCAATTATAAGAATACTACAGTGAATCACCACAAAAGAAAATTTTATTTATTTTAACTAAAATCAAACCCTCCAATACTTGTGCCTTTTTCTAAACACCAAGACAATTATCATTTGTCATAATTTATATATTCAAGTCCTGAATACTTAAATATCTCATTCTAACTACTATATCTTCTGTTATTTGGAGGTGTCAAAATTGTTATTTTAAATAGTATAGGAATTCCTACTAATTAATAGAAACACCTATAAGACTTCATATTTATTCTGAAAAATATAAGATAATTGAATTTTCGAAAAGAATACTAATAAATTCTTGGCACTTTCTCTGAACTATTTGATTCTATTATAATTTTATTTAATAAATTTAATGTTTTTTTTTATAATGAAGCCCAATTTAACACTTTTAGAGTTTCTGTTTAAACAGTGGGGGATTTTGGATGATTTTCTTCCCTTAAATTTTTATTAGGTTTTTCTAGAAATTTGGTGAAGATTTTTTAAGATAATGGAATTTTTTTGAACACATAACCATAAATTTATTTCTGTCAAATAACTTTGAACTTCATTATTCTGTTATAAATTTTAAAGTAGTCATTCTAATAATTAAGCATTACACCTAATTGACTCTTTATATTCATATTTTGTAGCTTCATTTAATTTGCAACATTTTGCATTTCTGGAATTTTATTTTTCAAACTATCTTATATATAAATTTTCCCAATATTTCTCACAAAGGGAAGTGTTTTTTTATGGATATTGTAGAATCTCTTCACCCATCTTCCCTAACCCTGCTACAAAATCAAAAAAACAAAGAAAATGAAAATTTTAAATTTATACATATATTTGGGGTCAAAAATTATGATAGAGATATAAAATCCATTTCCTTTTTCTTATTTGCATTCCTTCTTAGACTCTTGTGATTCAGAGTCTTGTGATTCAGAGTTTTTCATTACTAATTGTGGTTGAAACTTCAATAATATTGTATTTAATTGATATATACATTCATTAACTCTAAACGATTAAATTATAATATATTACAGAGAAGCCACAACATTCTTGAACATCTTTGTTCTTGGTATTGAAATAAGGCCCATAAAATAATAGTTAAAAATATTTATGATGACTTTTCAATTTTTAAATGAAATTCTGAATAAAGATTAAGATTAAATTATTATGTAATTTATTAAGTTAAAAAAATTAATTTTCGGTAATAATTTAAGCTTCTGGCAATTAATATTTTCAATTAATACTTTTTATGAAGAATTTAATTTTCATTTGCTTAATAGCTTTGGTATTAACATAGCAAGTACAGCATACAAATAGATGTAATGATTGTGGTTAATTAAAATCAAAAAGTGATTGCGAATCAGAAGTAACAATCACAGGAGCTTGTGAATGGGTAGTTGCAGCAGGAACAACACCAGCAAAATGTTAGAAAAAGACAATAATTGATCCTGTAGCTTCATTCAAACCTTATTGTGAACTTGTTGATAAGCCAGAAACAAATTGTGCTAAGACATTAGGATGTGCTTATGTCGATTCAAAATGTACACACTTTGCAGGATGTCCAGCATATGTTAAAACTACAACAACAGATTGTTAAGCAATATCCTACTTCTGTGTCAGTGACGGAAATGCATGTATTGAAGCCAAAGAATGTAAAGAATACACATAACAACAATGTGAATCAACACCAAGTATCTCAGGAATTCTCAAATGTAAATGGGATACAAACTCTGGAACCTGTAGAGATTACTCTTGTTCAGAGGCTGATTCAAGTTTAAATACTGATTAAAAATGTTCAGCTTGGCTGGCTGGTTGTGTGACAAAAGGTGCAGGTTGTGTTAATTCTCCATTACCTTCCTGTACTGCTTACACAGGTGATGAGGCTGCTTGTTTATCTTATGTTGGATCAGATGGAAATTGTGAGTTAGCAGCTGGTACTACAAATTGTAAACCTAAAGAATGTGTAAATGGTCTATTTACTTCTGATGATGAGTGCAAAGCCTATTAAAAGGGATGTATCACAACAGGAAAAAATTGTATTTAAGCAACAACAAAGCCTTCATGTACTACATACTCTGGAGATAACACTACTTGCGTAGGATATATTGGATCAGATGGTGTCTGTGAAGGAGATGCTGGCGGCTCTAAATGCAGACCTAGAAAATGTGAAAATGGTGCATTCAATACTGATGAACTTTGCAAATAATATCAGGAAAGTTGTAAAACAAACGGCAAGACATGTGTTTCAGCCTTATCAGCTTGTAACACATATAAAGGTACTGCCACAACTTGTGCTGGATTTATTGGTACTGATGGATATTGCAAAGGAACCAGTACAACAACTGAAGCTTCTTGCTTACCCAAAGTTTGTGATGAAGCTCCAGATACAACAACAACTGATGAGGCTTGTAATAAATATTAAATTGGATGTGTTACTACAGGAAAAGGATGTGTTACAAGAACTAATTTGAAATCTTGTACTACCTATGATGGCGATGCTACTAGTTGTTAATCAAGAGTAGGATCTGAAGGAAAATGTATGTGGAAGAGTGGAACTAAATGTGTTGCTAGAGATTGTACAAGTGCCCCAGCAAATGTAAATACTAATGATCTTTGTCGAAATTATTTTACTAATTGTGTTACCACTGGATCAGGATGTGTTTCATAAACTACTTGTAAGTTGACTGTAAAATAACAAAGTTGTGAAGGTACTAAAGAAGGTAATAGCTAATGCTCTTGGTAACCCATTTGCACTAGTAATGCTTAATGTAGCCATTTTAAAGAAAAACCAATTTGTTTAGCAAACATAGCATAGGTCAGCACTTTTGATAGAAATGATGAGAGTGGAAATCCTCTATACAAAATTGTACCAACAAAGTGCGGATGGTTGAATGGCACTTGTAAGGAATTAGCCTGTTCAGATTTGACAGGTGCTTATTATAATACAGATGCTAACTGTGCAGCAGAATTATCAACATGTATTAGTAATAGAGTTGATGCATGCATAACTAAATATGATTGTGGCAAACTCTTTGGAACATAATCCACTTGCTTAAGTTATCCAGGTTATTGTACCAATACATCAACAGCTACTGATACTACTGCATGTGTATCAAGAAAGTGCACAGATAATACAGATTCTACTGCTGATAATACTGCCTGTGCAACATTCTTACCTGGATGTATTAGTAATGGAAAAGGCTGCGTTGATTATAATACTCCATGTTCATCAATGACAGGAACTTAAGACACATGCAATAAGCTCTTTGCTTATCTGTCTGGATCTAAGGATAACTTTACAACAAATCAATGTTACAACAGCTCAACAGCAACTAATAATGATGCTTGTCAAGTTAAAACATGCAAATTGGCTACAAACCAAACAGATAATGGTACATGTGGATCATTTTTAGAAGGATGTGTTTATAATGGAAATGGAGGTTGTGTTGATCCAAAAGCAAGTGATACTGATTGTTCAAGTTATACAGGTGTGTTAGCATTTTGTTCATCTGCTATTGTAAAAACTAATGGTGTTAATTATTGTTTTGGAACAACTACTTCAGCAGCATGCACTGTTAGATAATGTACAGATAATACTTAAGCCACAAAGGATGATGAGTGTGAAACTTTCATGTCAGGATGTATTGCTAAATCTGAAGGAGGTTGCATTGCTAGATCAGCAAGAACCTGTGCCTAATAATAAGGAACAGTTACATCATGTCCTACTTTTAGTGGAGGTTTATAAGTTTCTTCAGTTTGGACCAAAACTGGATGCACAAAATATGATGCTTGTTAAATTAGAACATGTGCAGATAAAACAAGTCCTTAATCAGCTTAGGATTGTACAGATCACAAATCAACTTGTAGATTCTTGAAGGCTGGATCACCATGCTTTGATGCAGCAGCTTGTAGTACTTATAGTTTACCAGATACAGCAACAACAGATTAATAAAAGTTTGATTATTGTACAAACATCAAAGATAACAATGGGTTGTTATGTGGTTTTACAAAAGGAGCAACTAAATGTTCATCTAGATCTTGTGAATAATTCTTGAGTGAATACACTTCATCATCAACCTCATGTGTTAGTTATTTATAAAAGAATGTATCCACTACAACAGATGAGGTATGTAAGTTAGCTGGAACCATTTGTTATTTACCTATAGCAACTTGTGCATATAATTATACAATAAATGATAACACTGATGCACTTAAGTTAAGTTAATGTTAAAAGTTTGTTACTAATACTACAGCAACTGCATGCACATTCAAAACTGGTGAAATAAAATGCACTTTATAGAATAGTTGTGAAAAGTTAAATACATAAACTGATGCAAAAACCTGTAATGATTAAACAATTTTTTCATCCGCAGGAAAATGTTAAAAAGTAACAGATTCAACTTGTCTAACATTATCAACAGCATGTACTGACTACAAAATTGATTCTACTTTGGCTTCAAATAAAAAATAAGAATTATGTTGGGGTTTGAAGGCTGTTGATAATTTATCTAATATTACTGAGGGAACAGGAGTCTATACTAAATGTGTGTATAAGACAGGTAGTTAATGCGATGCCATATCTGCTTGCTCAGATATTTATTCAGCCTCAAGTTAAGCTGAATGCGAGGCTTATAAAACAGGATGCTTATATTATAGTGGCAAGTGTTATGCTGCTGTTGCTTCTGGTGCTTGTCCAACATCCTTCCCAACTGGAGTTACAACAGATAGTTAAAAATCTCTTTATTGTAGAAGTATCAAAGAAGCCTCTGATTATTGCAGCTTTGATAAGGCAACTAATAAATGCATATTGGCTACTAATGGAACTTGTGCTGATATAACCATTCCTACATCAGGTACTTGGGATTCTTTGAGTGATCCAACTGCAGATGCATTTAAATCTGCTTATTGTTTAGCTCAATCATAAAAAGATAGAATTAAATTATGTAAATATACATCTGGAACTTCCACTACAAAATGTAGTGATGCAACATGTGCAGATATCACTTCAGCAACTAGTTAAGGGGATTGTGATAATTACTTATCTGGATGTATCTTCTATAATAATAAATGTTATGTACCAGGAACAGTATCAGCGGATGCTGATTGTGCTAATAATACTAATGCACCTATGGATGCAGGATTGACAGCTACATAAAAGGTAGCATTGTGTTAATCTTATTACAGTTCTGACAAAACAGTATATTGTACATATGATTAATATAATTCAGGAGGAGCTCCAGCTTAATGTGTTGTTGGTGAGGTAGCTTGTACATCCTATACTGCATTACCATCCACTAATGATACTGATAAATCAACATATTGTTTAAGCAAAATTAACAAGGCTGGAAAAAGATGTGCATTCACAACTGCTGATACTAAGTGCAGAGACTTTAATTGCCAAGATATATAAAATGCAACCTCTTAAATCGATTGCGATTTAGGAGCACCAGGAAAGAAATGTGTTTATCTTTTAGGAACATGCTATAATAAGGAGGCAGTATGTACAACATTCACTGCATAAAGTGGAAATGAGAAGATTTATTGTGATAAAATCAGTGCTGCCACACCATGTACTTATATTTCAGGAACAACATGTGCTATTAAACAAGATTGTCATCTTTATAGTGTAACCACAAATTAAGCCACTGTTTGTGCAACATTGACTAATGCAAGTGGAACTAAGTGTACTTATCTTGGAGGAAATAATTGTGTTGCAGTGGGTACTTGTGCTTCATATGATGGAACAGGAGGTGTAGCAGCAAAAGGACCCACAGCTGGTTCAGAGGATACTGAATGCAAAGCAGTTAAATCAACAGCTGGTTATCCATGCATTAAAGATGTTGCTTAGAAATGCAAAGCATAAGTTTGTACTGATAATGATGCCAGTGCTACAGATTGTGCTAATAATGCTGACGGCTGTCTCTATTATTCTAATAAATGTATTACTAAGGATACTTGTGCAAATTATGATCCATAAGGTAGTGATAATACAGCCAAATAAACATGGTGTGAAGGAGTTTAGAATTCATCTGGAGATTTTTGTGCTTGGGATTAAGCAAATACCAAATGTAAAGACAGAACATGTGGTGATAAGGAATTCTATACAGATTTTGATTGCTAAAGTTATCTTAAATCTTGCAAGACAGACGGAACTAAATGTGTTGCATCAACTACTGCATGTACTTCATTTAATGGTTCTACAGATTTTTGCAATAACTTATTAGATGCAACAGGAAAAGATAAATGCAGACCTATTACAACTGCTACTACTACATCTTCTGCATGTAGAAATAAAACATGTTATGATAATGTTACAGCTTAATCTGATTCTGAATGTGAAGCTTATTTAAGTGGATGCGTCACTCGTGGTACAGGATGTATTCCAAATACAGCATCATGTGATCAATACAGAGGAACTAAATAATAATGTGAATTATTCAAAAAATTTACTGGATTAGATGCTGATAAGAATCCAACTTATGAATATTGTTCTGGAGATGCTGGGAATACAGCAACCAGTAAATGTAAAGTAAGAACTTGTGCAGATAATACTACAGCTGTTACTGATACTGAATGTGCTGCTTATTTGAAAGGTTGTATTACCAAAGGTACTGGATGTATTGATGCAACATCAGCATGTACTGCATATAAGGGAGATTAAGCAACTTGTGCAAAATTCCTTGGATCTTCAGGTAATGATTATTGCTGGAATACATCAACTGCAGTGGATACTACTAGTTGTGCAAAGAAGAGGTGTAGTGACATATCTGGTAAAAATAATAAAGAGTGTAATGATGGTATGCCACCATTTAAACCAACAAATGATCCTTTCTGTGTCTTTGATGGAACTTCATGTATTGATTATGGAAAGTTTTGTAATGCTTTCAATGGAACTGAAGAGACATGCCCAACATTTTAAGCTAAAGATGGTCCATGCAAAGCTACTACAGTTGGAACTATCAAAGGAGCATGCGCTAAGAGAGTATGTACAGAAGCACCAAACAATCTTACAACTGATGCTGATTGCTAGAAATATCATAAAGATTGTTATACAACTGGTTATGGATGCTCAAGTGTTAAGAAATGTGAAAACTTGACATCATAAGCTTCATGCAAATTAAGATCAGAATGCACATGGACTAATTGGTGTTCATCTACTAGTACTACATGTGCTACTTATAATAATACTAATTACTCAATATGTACCAATTCTAAAGTAAATGGTAAATTCTGTGCTTGGTAAGAATCTAATTCAACATGCAGAGCTTAAGTTTGTGAAGATTAACCAGCAACTATTGCTTCTCATGCTCAATGCTAAAGCTTTGCTGATACTTGTACTACAACTGGAGCTGGTTGCATAACTATTTCGGCATGTTCATTATACAAGACACAATCTATTTGTATTGCTGCCTCAACAACTAAAGATGGAGTAGGTAGATGTGGTTGGGATGTAGCAACAAATAAATGCAGAGCTAGAGTTTGCAGCGATAAAAATGGGTTAACTGATGATGAATGTAATACTTTCCTATCAGGATGTAAGACAAATGGAGCAGGTTGTGTGAGCGGAACCTCATGTACTGAATTTACTAATAAATAATTCTGTCTTAAATCCAACGTTGGACCATGTCTTTGGGTTAATGGTTAATGTTATGACTATGACAGATGTGAAGATGCAGTTAAAAAGACACATTCTGAATGCTAAGCATTTTCACCATTATGTACAACCAATGGAGATACTTGCATACCTATTACATCATGCGCCAGCACAACATTAAAGGCTTCTTGTGTTGTAGGAACTGATGGAGCTTGTGGATGGTTACCCACTGGAAAATGTTAGAAGTTTGGACAATGCACAGATGCTGTTGCTGCTACAAATGATGAATGTGTTTCTTATGGACCAACATGTATAACTGATGGAGCAGCATGTATTGCTAAATCAACTTGTGGTAGCTACAAGACATTAATAGCATGTAATAACAATGGAACAGATGGTATTTGTTATTGGAATGCCACAACTAATACATGCAAATTGAAGGAGTGTAGTGATGAGCAAAAGGGTACACATGATTAATGCAGGCTTATCACAGTTACAGGAGGATCTTGCACAACTGATGGAACCAAATGCATTCCATTATCAACATGCTCAAGTTATATTGAAGCTGGATGTTTCAATGGAACTGATGGAGAATGCATATTTGCATTACCAGTTGGAGCTACTACAGGAACTAAGACCTGTAGATAAAAGTAATGTGAAGATATTACTGGTGGAACATCAAATGCTAACTGTATGGGAGTAATCACTGGAAAATAATGTGTATCTAATGGAATAAGTTGTATAGCCAAAGCTGCTTGCTCATTCTATAAGAATATTACTTCTTGTAATGGAGGTGGCTTTGAAAATAATAAATCAACTGTTTGTGCTTTCACTCCAAATGGAACTGATAAGGTTAATGGAACTTGCAAAACATTTACTGCATGTGCGGATGCCAGCAAAGATAAACTAGCTTGCACAACTAATCCATTTTGCAAATGGACTGAAAACTCAACAGGAACATCTTGTGTTAATCATACTTGTGATACTTATGCCACAGGAACTGACTGCAGACCTATTCCAAGCTTTGATGGAACTTCATCCACAATTTGTGTTCTCTAAAGTGGAAAATGCGCTGCTGCTGATCCAGGAACCATGACAGATTCCAAGATTTGCTATACTAAATCTGCTTATACATATAGTTGGAATACTGCAACCAATAAATGTGAAAGTTGTATTTCAGGATCTGTCAATCCAAATAATTCAAACGGAACAAATAATTAAACAGATAATGGAACAACAACTACCGACAATGCCTTCATCTTGTCAGCTATTTCTTTAGGTATCTTGGGATTAATGGCATGATATTGATTTTCATATTATATAGGAAAATTATTAATAATACAAATTATTTTATCTCTTAATAAGGGTGTTTTTAGTAAATATTAAAATCTTAAAATTTTTATTATTCCATCTAAATTATTGAATAATAGAATTTTTCTCAGAAAACATCCACGGATATATTTGAAGATTTAAAATATATTTCAACTTTTTATTATTCAATACACAATGAATACTTATTATAAAAAAAGTAAAAAATCTCTTTCATACGTTTGCTAAATCATTTACACTTACCTAAGGATTTTCTACTGATATTCTTAATTATATCAAAGGAGACCTGAATGTTATTATTTAATAATAAATAGAGATGCATGGACATAGCTAAATTAAAAATAAAATGATGAATAATAAATACTATAAATTAAAATTTTGGACAAAATCTTTACAGAGTAAGTTACTTTTAGACTCTGATTAAATGATTATTTGTTTGGTTAAGTTTCTAGAATTGCTTAGTTATTAAAAACATATGAAATAAATACAGTTAGGAGATTGTAGGCTGTGGAAATCCGATTTGCTGATTTATAAGTTTTCATTTTTGAAAATGATAGAATGATAGAATTTTTGATGGTTTTGCCTAATCTGTATAGATTGGTTATTAATAATAGTGTAATTTTAGACTTTACCAAATCTTGAGTGTAAAGGAATTTAGTTTCCTGACTAATTTGTTACTCAGATAAGATTTAAAAATAAACATGGTACTGGAATTAAATTAAGTTTTAGACTAATTATATTCATAAATCCTAAGAAAGTTATTATTATTTCACTTTAAATTTTAATGAAATAACTGTTATATTTTAGACTTTAGCTGATTTTTTTCAATATTGTGATATACACTTTAGAAAAGATTTATATAAATCGATTTTTAATCAAAGTACTAATATTAAATTTATACATTTATTTTTTATTTTGTTTAATTAATCATAAAACTAAATATAATCTAATTCAAATTAAATCATTAATTAGCTCTAAAATTTTATTGGTGGTTTCTAAAATAAAATATTGTTTTGTCTCAAGAGGGATTATTTTATCAATAGCTTTTTCCATAGCTTAGTAAAGTTTGTTGGCATTAAATTCGTAAGTATCTTAATTATCAATATTTAATTTGAATGTATACTTAAAAATATATGTATAAGTATTGTAAAAATATTGAATTATTGCATGCTTACAGATTACTTTTGTTATTATTTTCGTAATATCTTATTCATCATATTGAAACTTAAAAAATTACGAATTAAACTAAATTTATTCTATTATTGCTTATTTAACTTATTTTTCAATATAATTTTAAATTTTATTTTAAAGATCAAAATAAATTTATTCAATAGTAGTTTTAATATTATTCCCTTCATACTATATTCTTTAATATCCTTCATCATTATCGAGCTGTTTAACAATTTAAGGAAGGCTTGAATATAAGCAGTATTCTAATTTATATGCATTTGATGGAGTTTTTTCCATTTATGATGTCGTTTACATAATTTTTTTTATGTCTAGATTATATTTTATTTTCCCTTCATGTCTTTTATTATTTATTGTATCAATATCTTCATCAACAGAAATGATTTATTTCTGTTTATCATATTAATATTTCTTTAAGGTATCATCTATTTTATAAATTAATTAATCTAATTGTTTATTATTTATTTCATTTATTATTGGCTCAATAATAGTTTTTTTCACATCATCTTTGGGTTATGTTAGTATTATGTTATCAAAACAATTATCAATAATATATTTTATAATAATTAATATTTTTTTTGATTAGCTAACCCTTTCAATCTCTTTTTCATTTAAGTCTTCATAATTTGGACATTAATAGCCAGTGAAATGAATAGTATAATTTAATATCGAATATTTACAATTAAATGCTTCATTTTAATTATTGAATTTCAACCAAATTCTATTACAATCCAAGTATTCATGATCTATTTTAACCAATTACAATTATTAAACTTTTTAAGCTAAGGATTTAACTAAAACCAATAGTTAACCTAAATGTATTCTAACAAGATTAAATGACTTTATTGAAATTAATATTTACGATAAAATAAACTAGATCACTTAATCTAATACATTTTTCTCTATTTATTTCATATGAAACATATTGTTCTTATTCATGTATTCTTGTTAATCCAATCTCGTCAATTTCTATAATTTTTTTCAATTCTTCTAAATTTTAATAAGTATAAATATCCTCAGATGTATATGAAAAATATTGCATCTTAATTTTATAATAAACAAATAATAATAGAATAAATGATTTTAATTAATAATAAAAAAATATTTTTATTAAATAATAAATTAAACTAGCTAAATTCATTGTTATCAAAGAATAATTATCAATTCATCAAGTGGAATTTTATAAACATGTATAATTGTTAAATTAATAAAATTATTGTTTTTAAAATGATCAATAATTACATTAAAATGAGATTTTACATTTTTGCTGAGATTTGAAAAAATACAATTATAATAATAGACTATCAATTAAATATATTAAATAACATTTATGTTTCAAATTATATACTATTTGTTTTTATTAAGCCTTTAATTCCAAAAAAAAATGATTTCATTAATTTTCTACCAGAAAATCTTATAAAATAGAATGGATTTGCCATTCTTAAAGAGTTTTATTTGAGTACTAATTAGAATCATCAATTATTGGATTATTTCATGTTAGGTATTACAAAATATTAAAAATAAAATAATGTCGGTTCAATAGGAAGTGATTAAATATATGTTAGTAGGATCAAATATGGTTGGTAAGACTTCTTTTCTATCTCGATTTTGCGAGAACAATTTCAAATCAAACTATGAAGAAAGTAAAGGATTAGATTTTAAATCTAAAATATATAATGATGGTAAATATAGACTTTGTATTTTTGATACAGTAATATATTAAAATTTACATAATAGCCTGGAGCTGAAAATTTGAGATATGCTTCATATGGATTCTATAAGTCAGCTTTTGGTTTTATTTTAATTTTTGATCTTACAAGGTAAAACACTATATAAAATAATAGGCCTTATACTTTAACAGATTTGAGAGATGATATGACTGAAATTGCAAGGCATGCACCTGAATGTATGAATTGATTGAAATTTAGATGCACAATTAATTATAGTTGGGAACAAATCTGATTAATATGATCATCATTATTATAAAGAATCATAAGAAGAAGCACAAAAGATGGCAAATGAATTAAATATTCCATATTTTGAGATTTCTTGCTTGACAGGATAAAATGTAGATTTAGTAATTGAGGATTTAACAACAAGAGTTGGGAATTAAATGAAAAATGGAAATTTGAGTAATTAGTCAGGGAAATAGACATAAAATCGTGAAAAAGATGAATAAATTAAAACAGAAGGAGGATGTTGTTGTAAAATTTTTTGAATTTGTATATTTTTATTTATTTATTATTTTCACTTGTTAATTGACATCATTAACTCTATTTGAATTTTAGAAATTCTAAAAAATCATATTTTAGAATCATTTACAATAGACTATACTAATTTTATCAATATTTCTAAGATATTTTTATTATTAAGAGCTGCTAGCCTATGTTATCTATTGTGTGATTTCTCATTATAGTTTTTCTTACTATTTAATATACTTCTAATTGCACAATTATAACTATAGTTTCTAAGAATTAAATAATGATAACTAATTTACAATGGAAAATACTAGGTCAGAATCTATGATTTATGAAATAATATATTCTTGTATGATTACCTAGTTGTAAAAATTCTGAAAAATAACAAAGCATAATAAATATATCCTAGATTATTCTTTATAATCAATAAGCAAAGGAAGAAATATAGACTATTATTTATTACTGATAATATAATAAAACATTAATATTTGTATAGTTTAATGGAATTTTTCAATATTATGTAAATGCTATGATTATAATTACTTTGTTATTACATTTAATAATTTTATTATTTGCTTTTTGAATAATTTGTAATTTAATGGATAGTAATTTGATAGCAAGATTCTAGAATTACAAAATAAAATATAAGCATAAGATATATAGAGTACTAATTATCAAAGTTTCTTCTAATTAACTTATATTTAACTTTGATAAATAAGGGAAGATTATTTTAATAATTTGAGATTATTGATTAATGATGAAAACTTGTAATTTGCTTTCTACAAAACAATTTATTGGTTTTATTCCTATATAATGATTAAATGAATAGCTAAATCACATATAACTTATTTTTGATAATAGGATCATCAATAATAATTTGATTTTGAAAATAATCACGTTGATTTAACAGTTAAAAATTTATCAATTATTTCTAAATTCCGTTAATTTATCTCTTTTCTTAAGTTAGATATTTAAAGTTAAACATTTCAATAATTTTGGCTTAATTTATGGGTATATGTGAATCGCACACATAAGACTATTTAGAAAAGTTTTAGGATAGCAAATAATCTGTAACTTGTCAATGTTATACCTAAACTTAATAAAATAGAATTAAGGTGCCTATATTAAATTCGCCAACTTAAAATTCACTATATTCAAAAAGACAAATATAAGGTCCCAATAAGATTTGCGAAAATATGCAATAAGCAATTGAGTTATGAAATTAGTTATTTTTTGTGTTCTTTTTCTTATTTATTTTGTGTATAAAAAGGTTTTCAATGGTTTATGAAAAAAAATAACAATTTAGAAAATTAAAAATTAGAAAAATAACTGAATCCCTCTAAGATGTATGTATATCAAACTGTTGTTATTAATTCAAGAAAATTATGATCAATTTTATTGAATTATTAAATTCTTAATCTCAAACCTTAATTTCTAAGAAAAGCCCACAAATTTATTTATAATCATGAAAATAATTTATAGTATTTGTAAAAAAATATGAAATTCATTTTAGAGAAACACTTCTAAAAATCTTTATAATTAATTTTATACTATTTAGGAACGATTAATAATAATAAATATATAGTTTATAATAAATAAAATTTTTAGTGAATTTAGAATATATGATTAAGAAATATATATTAGATTTGGAAAATTCCACAAAAAAACCTTAAAATCGAATATAAATATCAAGCTTAAGTTTTAACGTCATGAAGGATTTATTACATCTTTTAATATACAAATCATATCGTCTTCTTTATATTTATATTAAACATTCTCTTAAAATTATTTTTCTTAATAGTATTTCATAAAACTACAAACACGATACCCACATGAATATGTGTCTCGTTATTATCCAGAATGTGGATGTACATTAATTTGAATTTCATTTAAATTAAGAATTTAAGCTATGGCATTTATTAATTTGCCATCTTACTCTGATCTATGCAAAGAATCAAAAATAAACACTTTTTTAGAACTTAATTCAAATAATAGAAATAGCCAATGACGATTTTTTTTATTGACTGGGAATCCAATATAATGATACAATAATGAAAGTTAAAAATTTATATCCTTAAATTGAGGTTTTTCTGATTCAAATAAATATCTTACCTTTTTAATATCATAATCATCTCCAAAATTAGTTGTTAAACTTGATGGAAAAAATAAAATTCTTTTTTTGTTTTTTCTTTCTGTTTACTTTAATTAAAAATATTTGTTATCACTAGATAAGTTAAGATACAGAACATAACTATCAATGATACTACTTGTCATCCATAACTTATTTTTCAATATATTCAAATCATTAATTGAAAATTACTAATTGTATTTACACCAAATTTTTATATTTTACTATTATTGACAAATATATTCGTAATTATCTCTATTAGATTTATTTAATTATTCATTTGTTTCTGGATCTAATATCTTTATTTATTGATTCTTGTTTTCTTAAATTCTATTTTTTTAAATAGTATCTTCCCCAAAGTCTTGATTTATAAAATTTGATTATTCTTAAAAGCAAATTCCACTTTTTATTAGATTAAATGTCTTTTTTTCTAAATTAATCAAAAACTTTCCTTCGTTTAATCTAAATTTTGGATTGTTATTTTCATCATATTCAGTTTAGTACAATTTTACTTCACATTCATATTGATTTGGTTAATTCTAATAATATTTTATACTATCTTCGCTATAATAACACAAGATGTTAATAAATATTATTAGATTATTAAAATTTGACGATTAAATTTAAAGTTTATCAAATCCATTATTTATACAATCTTAATTCCAACTTGTTATTGAATTCCTTTCTTAAGAATTCTATTGATTTTGAATTCCTAAATTTTTATTTTATATGTCTTATTGATTTTTTAACTTAGAAATACTTGATTCTGATTTCTTAATATTTTAATCTTAAGTTTAATTTTTTTCAGGCCGATCTTTATCACTTCCTTTTCTACTTTGAAAACAACAACAGAAACCATTCATTTTATACTTTTGATTCTAGTTTAATAAACTAATTTATTTATTGAAAGGATTATAAAATTTGTTTTAGAAAATATTACTTTTATTCAGAAACCCAGACATAATTAAGGATATGTCAAATACATTAACATTATTTATATCTCTTTAATAATAAATGTATATTCATTATATAGTATTGTTATTCTTTTAGAAAATGATATCAATCTTATATTGATAAATTTGAGTAATAAGAAAACGATCATAATATAAATGATCTTATTTGCAGAATAACAAATTAGTTTATAAGTAGAATTAGGTCCTGTGTTGTGAAATAAGAACGCAAAATCAAGTTTTCTTAGCTATCTACTTTATTATAAATAACTTTACATTTCTAATTAATCTAAAAACAATTATTTCAAATAAAATTTGTTCACTGATAATTAAAACTTTAAGCTATGTCATAATTTTCTTGCCTTCATGCAACAACTTGCTTCTTTTCATCAATAATTTAAACAATCATTCTCTATTTAAAATTAAAAATCTTCAAACTTATAGAGTTTGAGTTATTTGTAGATGGAAAAACTAATTTAGTTCTAACCGATATCTCGCTTGATAAACAAATCTAATTGGATCATACTCTAGTTCCTAGAATCTTAAATATATGAACTAAGATTCAAATTTAGAAGCTTAAGTTAGTCTTTATGTTATTTAATGTTTATGGATTTTATTGATTTAAAATTTCTTATTCTCAAGTTTTGAAACTAAACAATAAAATAATGTAATTTAATAAAATAATCATTTAATCAGAGTTTAAAAGTAACCTACTTTTAATGATTTTGTTCAAAATTTTAATTGATATTATTTATTATTATATTGT